GTCCTGCACCAATAGCGGCGAGTCCACAAAACCCTCCTCCGAGGACGTGTGGTCACACCTCAGTCTCCGAGGACACACTTTTCCTTCTCACCATAACACATGTAAAATGTCATGCACCCGACCTGCGCACGACGACACGGCTTCCCTTTGGGCCTCAGTGGACAGTCGTCGTGTAATTGTCGCACACACATTTAAAAGGCTCCGCGGCAGCACGTGACCCAGCCTCACAGACACGTCACTCAGATGTGCAGGGAAGCCACCGTGCCACCGGCCCAGTGGACGAACATCACCACTGCATGAGTCGACTTGGACCAGGAATACAGAGTTCATTCTCTCGCCGAGGCTTTTTGATTTTTAATTAGAGTAGCGAGCAGCTGTCTAACGGCTCAGCGCCGTGATAGAAGTCCTACATGCTTTCAAAGCACTTCAAAGGGCTTTTTTCTTTGAGGATCATATTACAGACATCCTCATTTCGCTCACGCGTAGAGGAGATATTGAACGTAGAGATATTTCTGGAATTATTTCTAATTTTTAAGACTTCAACTCAACTGATCATGTTTGTATTAGGGCCACATGCTGGTGGGGGGGGAGTGGGGGCAGTGGGGGGGGCTGTGCTGCTGCAATACAGTAAGACCATTACAGGTTTAAGATCAAGCTACGAATGTCGGTTTCTTCTCACAGAGGAAAACATCGCAGATATGAGATTAGTTGAACGCTCTGGTCTTTTATTGATCTTAGTGTGAGCCTGTGATGGAACGTCGACCTGCCCCCCCCACCTCCCCACCCACCTCCCCCCACAATCCCAAACAGGATTACTGTAAGTGAATGAGAATGAACAGTGGACAGATGCCGTCATTACATCTATGTGAGTCTGAGAATTTGTAGTTTTTATCTGTGAGATCACCGGTTCCAGTCCGTAGGTCATCTGGTACCGTCCAGTCATATCCCTTTACTTTTTTCATTAAAAGATCATCTGGAAATGTCTCGAAACAACCATTCATTCAGACTGATACAGAATACTAACAGAATAAAGTCTAAAAGATGTTTTATTTAAAAAATGAAATGACCCTTAGAGCTCTAGTTTGATGCAGTAAAACTAGAAACGCCCCAGAAGTCAGTGACATTAAACTGATATTCCTTAGGTTTTCTTGTGTTGGATTAAAGAAGGCTGCCCCCGGTGGTCGGCCTTATTTGAACAGTTCTTCTTTTTTAAAAACACCGTACAGACAAACAGGTGAAATTCCGCTAATAGCAGAGAAAACGCAGGTGCAGACGAGACTGGAGAGTCATAAAAACGTGCTCTAAACCTGTCAGGCCTCGGTGAAGCCCCGGAACAGCTGTTAGAAATACATGCTTCGCAGGCAAATATTGTTCAAACTCGCTAATACTTCTGTCATAATGTGACACCGACATCTACGGCTTTGTACAGTGTACAGTGGGTGAGGAGATGAAGAAAATCTCCGTCTGTTACGAAGCTCATTTGACTGAACACGTTCTGTTTAAAGGTTCCCTCTGGACACCACGGTGACGGAGCCAAGGGCTGCAGTGACTCCTGCTCCCACCGTAGAACCTACAGATATCTGCAGCAAAAGACACTGATGCTGATTGCTTTGACCTTCACCATTTCGCTCCTCCACACTTTCATCCCGGCGCCTCTCTCTCTGTGTTGTTCTCAGCTCTTTAATCTTAAAAGTGGCCGCCCCTGATGAGACGGATCAAAGGAGCTCTGCATCAAGCACAGGTCACCAGCTCCGTCCTCCTGATCGCGGTGCGGGGTGAGATTATTGATTTCTCTGAGATCAACCTCAACCACTGCCGGTTTCCCCCCATTGTTTTAAGACAGAGAAGGACTTGAAGGAGAAGTGAGGAGGAGGAGTTTCTGTCTTGTTATGTAAGTAACGAGGAGGATTTCTTCACGGAAAAAAAAACCAATATGTCTTCAGACGTCCACCAAAGTACTGCATGTCTTTCTAAATGTGTCTCTTCATCTCCTTTGAGATGTGTCCTGCATTTGTTTCAATCATTTTTTTCAGCATCTTCTCTTTCTGTTCCGTACATGGATTTCCCTTCCTTCTCTGCAGGTGGCGCTATTGATGCATTTGATACATGGATTTCCCTTCCTTCCCTGCAGGTGGCGCTATTGATGCATTTGAAAACTCAGTTCCATGAGTTGATTAACATAGATTTCTGGAATGCTAATGCATTGTCCTCTGCTAACCTGTGGAGCCGTACACCTCCGACAACACATTCACAGCAGTGTGATAACTTGACTTGATTTGATTTTTAAAAAATGCAAAATATTTAAAATTTTACAACTACATACTTTTGTTGAACTATATTAAAATTGCATTCCGTTACACTGTGAATATTTTACTTAGCTATTCATTACTTGCAACATAGTCGTCAGTGTCCTCAACCTGCTAACGTCACAAACCTCGTTCTTTGCCTCTATCGTGTCAAATCACTTCCACCTACTTTTTCTATTTCTGTTTTCTATTTGTCACATTCACACCTACAACTGACCAATCACTGGCAAAGAAAGGCAAACGACAGAAATCGGACAAAAGATAAAGAACAGCGCCTTCGTTCACCTTTTGACCCGTTCGAAGTCACCGAGAGGCTCCGATATTGATTAATACAATGTTTCTGTTTTTTGTCGGGGGAATTCCTTCTTGTCGTACCCTTTGACTTTAACGGGTTTAACTTTAGAGTTTTTTTTTTTTTTTTAATTGCCCTCTCTCGTACAGGATGCCTGTACAGATCTGGCAGGGAGAGCTTTTCTGAGAAATGAGCGAGATGGATGCTCTCATAGCCACAGGGGGTTGCATGACGTCAGTCATCATTCACTTTAGTGTTTCCTTTCTCACACACACACACACACACACACACACGGATGTATGAAGCAGTGTTTTTTTCCAGATGAATGCTTGCATAGATGCCTAGTTCTTAAGTCAGATAACCCTTTGGAGCGAGGCAGAGGTGGATTACATGGCTGCTGAGCCCAGAGTCGCAGCCCGGGATACAGTCAAAGTGATGGTTGGAACGGAAGGAATGATAAAAGAAGGAGGGGGCAAAAACAAGCGAGGGGATTCTTTTTTCAAATGCCCCTGAACCACCCAGGGCACTTCCGTTCCGTCTGCATTGTCCAACAAAATAAGTCACTTCCATGTGGAGTAAACAGGAATCACACAGACGTCATCCTCTTCATCCTAACAGGTCAGCCCTCTGCACGTGTTTTCTCCTTTCTTTTACAGGAGGTTGGGACGAGGAGGAACTTTAGGGCTGAGCCAGTGGAACGCTGAACAGCTGTTCACTGTCAGTCAAAACCATATGAGCTCAAGAGAGTGTAGGTTTTTATAGATTTTTTTTTTTTTAAGTGTAGGTTTTTATAGATTTTTTTTTACATTATTGGATGTTGTTGTTCGATTTGTTTTTACCAAGGCTAATTCAAAATTCCGTCACACTCGTTCTCAAAGCGTTGAGCCTCTTACCTCAGGTCCACTAAAGAAGAATATCCTCCAAGATTATTCTTCCTTAGAAGTTTTTAAAACATAATGTTTTTTTGTGTATTCTGAATAATTCTCATTGAAACTAAATATCGACCATTAGAAGGTAGACCAGCAGGGGGCAGCAGTGCCAATGAGACCCCAAAGAAGAAGTGGTTGGGGTCAGTAGGAATAGCCCAACTCAGCGCAGTCCCAGATGATACTGACTGTTATTGGTCAAATTTGGCAAATTAAAACACGGGTTCGTTTTGGTCGGACATTTTTAAATGTCGGTCTACATGTTAGCGCACGGCTGCTGGAGATGCTCAGCTCCACAGAACGCCGGAGCGTGTACTCCTGCCTGTCAGCAGTCTACAACAAAGGAACTATGAATGAAATATTAATTATGCTGCAATTTCTGCAATCCACACATTCAAATCATTGACTAGGCATTGCTTCTGAATCCATAGCACCACCTAGAGGGGAGTTAAGGGCATCTACAGTACATGTTGTGTCTTCACTAATATTAATATAACTGTGTGACCTGAACACTCCAGCAGGTGGAACCACTTCATATTTAATGTAAACCATCTATGCTATATTGTATACTACAAAGTTTATCTTGTAGCATTGCACCAGCTGACCGGTGGAGGAGCGGTTAGTTCTCATGCCTTACAGTGAAAAGATCAGTGGTTTGATCTCTGGTTTGATGGAGATGGACCGTAGGTGTGAACGTCAGTGTGAACGTCAGTGTGAACGTCAGTGTGAACGTCCATATATGTGGATCTGTGATGGACTACAATGGACAAATGAATGGTTTTAATTCACCGTGTGTCCGTCACACGGATCAATAGGTGGTGCTCTTGCCCGGGCTGCTGAACTTTTTCTGCGTCCTCTCCAAGTGGCACATGACGTTCAGAGCGGGGCGCCAGAGACGAAGAGTCTTTCTCTCTCTCTCTCTCTCTCTCTCTCTCTCTCTCTCTTCTGCAATTGCCGTGAGACCGGACATTTATTATTAACAAATTGCTGACGTCATTTGACAAGAGGTAGGGGGCTGAGGGAGGGGGGGGGGGTAATCGTTTACGTCGAAGGGCTGATGTGATTGACTTAAAGCCTTAAAGGGGTGAGATTCTCACCGTGGGAACGAGAACGTGGGGGTTTTGGAGGTGAACTGCATGGTTGGAGGAGACGGCGGTGCATGTCAACAAAATGACGCTACCGTAGCCTCATAACGGGAGGCGTCACACGTGCACGTACATCAGCGCCACATACACACGGTGGAGAAAAAAAAACCACGAACGCGCGCACAGCCCTCCGTGTGCACCGCGGAGGGCTGTGCGTCCGAGTGCGCCAGTGAGTGTGTGTTTTGAATTCAAATGCAGCATCACATCAGAGCTGCAAATGCGGAGACGGAGAGGAGGAGGAGGATGAGGAGGAGGAGGAGGATGCGTTTGGGGTGAAGAAAGCCTTCAAATGTGTACGTTTTCCACACAACACATCTTATATTTCGCAGGATTTTTTTTTTTTTTTTTTTTTTGCAGGATGCCTCCATCCTGGCTGCGATTTGTCCCGGCTCTAAGTTGCGCCACTTAGTGCCGTGTTCCGGCCGTGTGCGTCAGGCACATTCAAATGAGCATGATTTGAATAAAAACACAACAGGAGGACAATAATCCTGGAGATGCACCTACCATGTTGACTTCAGAGACCATGTCGATGCTGGCTATGTCAATGTTCATGCCCACGGCCACCGGCGCACCTGCATGTGAAGGAGAACAGGCGTCAATACAACACGTATGAACCCCCCCACCCCCACCTCACCCCCTCTCATCATGTAAAATTGACGGGATTCGTGACGCGCGCACATGCAGGTTCCTCTCCACACACAGGACACTTATGTACCGTGCACATCTGCGCATTTAACACACACACACACACACACACACACACAGAGAGACACGAAAAGAGAAAAAAAAAATCAGCTCAAAAATTCTATTTTTAATAAATCCCAGTGAGGGAGGACTGGATGAGGTTCAACTGTTCCATCTTCTCAGCAGATAAACGGTGTTCATCATTGCAGAGGCCCGTTTAAGGTGAATATGTGAATGAAATGAAGCTGATTTTTTAGATTTCTTTCCCTTTTTTAAACAAGCACTGCGTTTCAGGAGGGCGACAAACCAGACACTTGGGGTTTTTTTTTTCATCATTACCTCCGAAATCCGGCCTCAACCGAATGTCGTATCCCTTCATCAGTCTGTCCACTGTCTCTTTGACCAGAGGCATATTGCTCGGGTCCTTAATATCCTTGACGCTGGACGGGGGACAGGGTGGTGTAATGTGGAAACAGAAAGGCTGATTAGTATCACACTCTTAAGCAGGGACGACGTGACATGCATGAAGGATGACAGAGGAAACGGTTGATAAAGACAATCCTTTACCTTTGAGTCCGGATAAACGACGCCAACAAGGAAAAAGTCAAAATCCCAAAGTGGGTTTTCCTGATCCTCCCCATCGCAACAGTTTTCCAGCTGGTGTAGGGATGCGAGTGAGGAGGAGAGCGCACATCCAACTTACTCCAGACGGCGCAGAGGAGCCAATGAGCGGCGCATGCGTGCAGCCTGCCCAAGATCAAAGAGTGGAGACTGATGATGGTGGATGAGCAGCTTCCATTGCAGAGGAAAATATTAAAGGGACAAGTGGATGTGCATAATGAAGAAACACACTGGTTTTCAGTCAGGACGGCAGGAAAGAAATCTGCTGCAGTGTTTGTGTCGAGCTTGTTTTATTGTCACATTCTTCCTACAGTAGATGGCAGATTCCGGGGGGTTCGTGTCTCTATCCTGACAAGGTCAAAACTGGAGGGTCTGTGTTTTTACGATGGGCACAAAAGTGAAGTGCAAGTTTTTTTATCTGTTTATTACATTAAGTTTGCAATCAGTCAATAAAGAAGACTAGGGTGGAAATGTTTTTTAAGGTCACCAGCACGTGGTCCAACTCGTCCTAATGTTTTAATCAAAAATATTGGGGTAATTTAAAGTAAAAGTATGTTGTAAAACTGTTAGAGAATTCTACAAACTCTGCTTCCATCTGTAGCTTTTGGCTAAGTTTGTACCAGTTCCAGCGACTGTCGTTGGGTGTCACAGGTTTAACAGTAAAACAAGATGCATCTGATCAAAATCACAGCATGTTAAAGCTGGACAACGAGGCTTCGACATCTGAGAGAGCCAGAGCTCTGAGCAAGAACTGAGGTAGTACTGGTCGAAGTACTGTTGATGGTAACTGCGCTAAACACAAACGATACCGTCCTGCAGACGGAGCTCTGATCGAAGTACTGCTGATGGTAACTGAGCTAAACACAAACGATACCGTCCTGTAGAGAACCTGCTCATGTTGCATAGCACTTGTAATAATATTTTGAGCCCATGTTGACAGTCATATTGCAGTCAAGTGAGTTGCAGTTTTGCAGCAGTAACAAAGATAGACGTTAAATGTCCTTTCTCTGTCTTTGTGTGCTCAAAATATCAGTGCAATGTCCTTTCTGTGTCTTTGTGTGCTCAAAATATCAGTGCAAGTGCAAAGCAACATTAGCTGTTTTGAGACATATTATACTGACTATATATAAACATATATAGTCAGTATATATATGTATATACTGTATAAATGATGTTTTTGTTGGACTTCTCCTTTAAGAACAAGTTCAAAACTGATCGGTTTTCATCACGTTACACACAGTACGTCACGTAAGCGCTCCATCCGTCACAGCACGACTTCATACATAAACATGCGTTCCTGACAATCATCTTCCATCTGTACAGAAATAGTAAATGAATGGCAGCAGCTCACAGAGGTGTTGTGTCCCACTCCTCCCTGCAGCGGATTTCAAACCCAGCATTAGAACATCACAGCAGCAGCAGCGGGGTGTCATGAAAACACAACTCATTTCCCAGGTTTACACCGGTTTACTCCGGCCAATCTGTGTTTCTGTGGAGGCCGAGCTCCTGGAAGCATTGGTCAAGCGTTGCATCACTACCTAAACACTGATTGCATCATCCACTCCGTCTCGCTGTGTTTCCTGGACTTGCTATACGTTTGTGTGTTCCCGGGTGCGAGGGGGTCCTGGGTGCAGGTGTGTGTACAGTGGGACCGAGGCTGGTGAAGGGCAGCTCTTCAGCCGCTGATCAGAACACAAGTGGGCAGCGGTCACAGCCTGTGAAATGAATAGATGTGCAGCACGGGAATAAATGAGTTTCTGATTCATTTCCTCTGTCAGACGAGAGCAGAGTGAATGCTGAGAGCTCGTTCGCCGGGAGAGGAAGTGAAAAGAGTAAAGGGAGAGGGCGAGGAGGGTGAGGCGAGGCTGGATGGGTGAGATGCTGAAAGGACTCTCCGGCTGCATGTGCCCTTTTTTTTTGTTGCCGGCCCTTTTTAGTCGAGATCCGCGTCCCTGTAGGAGAGAAGAGTGCATCAGCACAGAGACACTGAGACGGTGGGAGAGGAGAGCACAGAGAGAAGACTCTATCTGCAGTGTTCTCCACCTCAGCCTCAGCCTCAGCAGCTGCTGCTGCTGCTGAGGCTGCTGCTGTTGCTGCTGCTGCCTGTCCTCACCATGCCTTCTGCAAAAGTACAAAAAAAATTACACCTACCAAAAAAATAAATAAAAATAAGATGTGATGATGTGATGCTGCTGCTACTTTACACCTACCAAAAAATAAATAAAAATTACAGGATGTGATGATGTGATGCTGCTGCTACTTTCTCTGTTTTTTTTTAAATTATTGTTAGGTAGAATGTTATAAACACAACAGCCATAAAAACTGTTTCTCACAGGCACATGAGGAGCATGATGAGCAGATTTGCACTCCGTGGTGTTACATAACATCTCCTTCTCTCACACACTCACACACACATTCTCCTGCTCCCCTCTCCTTCTGTCTTTTCTCTCCTTCCTCCTCACATCGGGGGCTGCTGTTTTAAAGGCTCATTTATAAGCTGCCGAGTGAACAGGTAACTTTTTTCTGTGAGGTTAATGAACAAAGTAAGCTCTGCTTCTCTTTTGCCTGTGATACCAGCTCCCAGTGGACGCGCTGTGTTGTCATTAAAACAGCTGCTGTTTTCCCAGCCCTCAGGTAACACTCCTATAAAAATGTGCATGTTTTTTTCCCCCTCTCAAATTAATTAAGCGCCCAGCTCCTCTTCTTGTGTCGCAAGTCTGTGATCGTGATTATGTAGAAAGAGAAACCCTTCAAAAAATTCCCCCCTTTTATCTGCCTGGAAGTTTAAGGCTTTTTCACAGCCTTAGAAATTAATTAGAAAGAAGTGTATATTGATTAGTCAAAGTATTTTTCCATTAATATAAAGCTGTTGTTACAAGTCAAGTGTGAAAATGTTCCTCCATTACAGTGTGTACTTTCAAATTTTTCTGGCTGACTTTTACAAATATTGTTAAATCATGCTGTGTCACTAATTACTAAAGATTTGGACCAAGCTTTACAATAGTGTCATCATCTTCTACTGATCAGACCTGAACCTGGACCTTCAGAGTTGGTCTGTTTTTTTTATCTCATCCAGAGACCAATTTGTTAAAAAAATAATTCAATAAATCTTTGAGATAAAATCCCCTACAAAAGTCGACTAAACAAAGAAAAACTACATTTCCTGCAAAACATTTCAGTGGGATGATTATGGTAAGTATTCCCAGTAAACTCCACTTTCTCTGTTCATCATTGTTTATCACGTGTCGCTCGACGTAACGCTGTGACTCACTGATGTGTTTTAACTTCACAGTCCTAGAAAGAGAACTAACACAGATTTGCTAAGCTAATAACTGGCTAGCGTACCTGGGCCCCTCCATGGTGTCCTTGGCCAGGTAGATGTACCAGTAGATCAGGTTGAAGAGGGCAAAGGCCAGGGGGAAGAGGATGCGAGCGTACTTGTCAATGGGGCTGGTGCCGGCCAGCTGTGGGATCTGAGGAAAAGCTGATCCCTGCTGAAGGAAAATCGGTAACGGTGGGGCATCTGGTTCACTGCGGCAAATTGAGTGGTTTCTCCTCTTCAGGCCTTCTCGAGAGCCGCTGTCTAACTGGTGTGGGGACATTGATTTGGGGCAGGGGGAGCAGGAGGGGAGAGGATCAGGGTTAGTGTGGGGTTTTTTTTTTGCACTGGCTACGAATGCTATTTTTAAACTGCTGTAGTCATGAATATGAAGCTATAAGTAATGTTTACTCCAAACTGGAACTTTCCCCCCAAACTACACACCAACATCCCTGCAGAACGCAGCAGGTAGTTTGCTGGATGCCCCTGGGATGGTTGGGAGATGATGCAGTGAGGAGAGCAGGAGTTGCTCTCCTCACTCTCACCCAGGCTATTTTTAAAGCATCTAACCATGAGCCCTACATGTGAGACAGTTCCCTGGAGGATGCTGTGGTGGCGTACTGTATTAGCATACAGCATATAGCAGGAGATGTGCAGCACGTATTACTATTTAATGCATGGTATGTGTGTGTGAGTGTGTGTGTGTGTGTGTGCCTTGAATTGTAAGAACGGCAAAACAACAAGCAGTTGTGATGACTAGAAAACAGAGTTGTTTCTTTGTCTTCATTTCTGTCCTCAGCGTTTGTTATTAGCATTACGCTCTGAGGATACACTCAGATGAGTCTCCAGTTAGTGTTAGCAATGTAAATAAGCTGTTTAAATCAGTCGGAGGCACCGTGCGTGGAAAATGCAAATCAGTCAATCTGAAATGGAAATCACACACCTGCGCTATTTTTGAATCATTATTATTAGAAAGTGAGGAACTTGCTGAAACGGTGTCGTTGTCCTCGCTGCCCGTCACCAACAACTCTGGCTTTTCCAGACGGGCGTTTTGTTTCTTCAGACGGTTGGCCTGGCGAGTGGCAAAATAGTTGACCGCTGCAAACTCAACGAGGGCCGACGCCACGAAGGCAAAACACACGGCGATGAACCAGTCCATGGCGGTGGCGTAGGCCACTTTGGGAAGTGACTGACGGGCGCTGATGCTCAGCGTGGTCATGGTCAGCACGGTGGTGATGCCTGAGGGACGACACACACACACACACGGAGTCTTACCAACATATACCACAGATGTATACAAATATATATATACAGTATGTCTGAAAATATAGGTGGAGTGTGCAGGACTTTGGCTTTACATTGATAAACCACATGGACATAACTTCCCCTCCCTTCCCTGCAGGGGGTGCTATAAATCCCCCAGTCCATGAGTTTTGACATTTTTAAACTTTTTTTTTAAAATGAAAATATAAAATCTTGCAACCTGATCAAAGGAAAAAAAAAGTCTAACATTGATACTTGATTTGGTGCCGAATCACTGAAAATACTGCCAAAAAATAAGAAATGATACAAAAAATACATAATGAAAGAGAATCTATTAAATTAAAAACTGTACATGAGTTTCCATCTGTGAGCTCATTCTGCCTATGCACCTACTCATTCTTTTTTTAGGGTGTTTATAGCAGATACTTTCCTGTTTTATATATAATACTGCCACCTAGTGGCTCAGTTATACGGTATATCCCTGCTACTACTTGTGTATTTCCATCCAGATACATCATGGCCCCCTGCAGGAAGAAAAGGAAGGGCTGGAACTACCTGCAGTGGGCTGTTCCTTTGTATGGAAATGACACCACAATACACTCCTAGTGGCTTATTTAAATTGACTGCGTGTATTATTTGGTATGACGTCCTGCGTTCTCCACCTTTGGTCAGTGCAGATGCCTACCAGCGACGGTACGTGCAGGCACAGACTCCTTGTTAATCCAAAAGGAGACTTGTGACAACACCACAACCATAATGAGGGGGATGTAGGTCTGGATGAGGTAGTAGCCCAGCTTCCTCTGAAGGTGGAAATGGACCACCTGCACAGAGTAGTGACCTGAAAGATAAACAGCACTTGTGACGAGAGAGAGAGAGAGAGAGAGAGAGAGAGAGAGCGGGGCAGCACGGAGCAGATGCCCTTGACTGCCCTTGAAACAAGGGAGCTGCTGAGAGCGATGCATCGCATAGATATATTACTGCTGTATGGGACTGGAAGACAGCAGCTGCCTGTGAGACAGCACAGGGAGGAGGAAGAGAGAGAGAGAGGGAGGGAGAGAGGGAGGGAGAGGGGGAAGGACGAAAATGAGCAGGGAGGGAGGGAGCACGGCAGGCATTTAGAAATGGGATGGGTGGAGTGGAGGGAGAGGAGGTGAAGTGAGTGAGGAGGTGTGTGGTGGGGGGGGCAAAGGGTAGCAGGTGGTGTCAGTGTATGTATCACAGCTGCACACATCACATCACATCACATCACATCACATGCACAGACGTTCACACAGCAGAAATATGCTGCGTCATGAACACGCCGCTTGTCAAGTATGTTCATTCTAGAACTCTCTTCTACCATGCAGCCGTAATCATCTGAACTGAGTCCTGGCCCTCATCCCCCCCCCACCCCAACCTTATCTTTAACTCTAATTAATTCATTCATCTTCAACCACTTCATCCTTTTCACAGAGGGAGCTGGAGCAAATCCCAGCCAACATAAAGAAAAGGCAGGATTTATCCTGGGCAGAACAGCGGTCGCTCAGAGAGCCTCTAATCTGAAAGTTCTTCAACTTTGGAATAAAACTGCGATGACAACAGAAAACCTACACTCAGATGGTCTAGAAATAGGTGTCTCTGAAGTGACAGGACCAACCACTGGACCACTGTATCAAACCCTGACCCTAGAGGTCGTCACAGACCTTCAAGGTTCAGGGACTGGTTTGTTGATATAATGAAAACTGAACTTTTTCCCCCCTTTTTAACACCAATAAAAAATATTAAAATTTACATGAATCTGACCCTCTGTGACCTCCAGACTAACGCTGTGCCCCCAATGGGGTTGGACGCCCCCCAATTTGGAAACCACTTTCATCGCAGTGAATGGATTTGGCTCGTGGTCGCAGCATTGCTGGGTCAAATCCCAGCGATGGCAGGTTGGTGGTGTGTTCAACAATCAGACAAATCCCCCCCCCCACCCCCACCAAAACCCTCTCTGCTCCCTGGGGGCAATTTCTGTTGCTGACTCTTCCTATTGGTTCAATGCAGAGGACACACAGAGTCCAGTAAAGAAGTGTACACACACACACACACACACACACACACACACACACAGGGCTTAAAGCTGCAGTTCTTTACAGGACACACACTGGCATTAAGGCTTCGGCCACTTAAGCGTCTTAGCTCAAAGAAGCCCGGGCTTTGACACCTGCTCTGCTGCAGGACAGTGGACGTGCTCAGGAGAGGAGTCCCACGTCTGCCCTCGTCCTGCAGCGTCACCTCCAGACAGGTTTTTCTAATTAAAGTTTTCACCTTTGGGCCAGTGATAGCGTGTGGTCACGACTGTTACCTGTGTTTGCCTTGAAGATCTCACTGGACAGACTCTGTCCCACCAGGTCGTACTGCAGGAGACTCATGGACTCTTTAGGACAGTCCACAGAGGCCACTGGTCCCTTCCTCCAGGTGAAAATGATTTCACTGCTGGTGTACGCATCTGGAGGGAAAAAGGCATTGTTTAAATATTAATGAGTCTGGTCGTTACAGGATTTAAAAAAAAAAAAACTTAAATCACCTGGTATTCGTCAGACATGCAGCACCTAAAGTCCAGGACTTATTTAACCAGACTGCACTACAGAGGGACACAGGAAATTGGTCCTGCCTGTGTGTCATCAGACTCGCCAGCTCCCTCCTCTGAGACTTATTTTAATTACACTAACTGGTCAGTATTTTTGCAATACAATAATCTGATTTAATGAATACAAAGTTGGTAAATCTGTCCATATTTAAGTTTTAAAGTCTGCCAACGTCACATTTACACTTATTTCTTTGAACGTTTTAATAAATATATTTTTTGGAAATATTTCTAACTCTTAACATAGCATTGCATCTTTTGCTTTTCGTGAAATGCCCATTCAGGATCCACTGTAGGAAATATAATTTCTACCGAGGACCAATAACATTTTTTTTTATCTGATTCTAATATTCTCATACTCACAGCTTCCAAATCTGAGCGGGCAGGCATGGCCGTCCATAGGGAAGTCCATCAGCCTCATCGGACAATCTGCACTGATGGTCAGTCTAATCGCCAAAGCAGCAGAGAGAGAGAAATAAAAAGACAAACAGCTTCAAGTCTAAAGGCCAAAAACACACAGGTCAACAAGAGGAAACAAAGGCGTGACCTGTGACCTCATGGTGTAAAGGACCGTCCCGTTCTGCATGATGCGGAAGAGCTTGTTTGGCGTGGTCATGTTGTGAGAGATGGACTTCTTGGAGTTCCGGAAAAATGTATCGGGAGTCCAGATCTTTTCCACCATGAGGTTATTCAGACGCAGGATTTCGATGGGGCCCTCGAACTTCAGACGCTCATCGACCCACATCTGACGGAAGAACATGTCCATGGTGTAGTCCTGGTGTGTGAACAACAGATATTAACGCATTTAGCAATGTGTATTTTTTTAGTTAAGGTGAAGGTGCGGGTTGTGACCTACATTCTGTATATAGAGCTGTCAAAGTTAAATCGACATTAATGACTAAACTCAACCAACTCTTTGAGTCGTCTGTAGGAGAGATATACTGTAATTTAAATTCTTCCTCAGCTTATAAACCAATCACTAATACATTTGAACTTGCAGTGAGAGGTGATGAGTGGAGATGAGGAATGATGGATGCCACGCAGCCCAGATAATCATTAATCAATCCATTCAGCCATTTCTCCTGCCTGACATGTTGTCATATTGATTTAGAGTCTGTTGATAATAGAGTTATAGAGTTGGTCAAACAGATTAAAGCTCATTAGATGCCTTCATGGCAGATCGCTCATGAGGCAGGCACTCAGTGGCCACCGGAGCGCTCCTGCTGTAACAGTCGTCACGTGCACGCCTCCTCTACAGAAGTGAAATCTCACCATCTCAACATCCGAAACAGGTCCAAAGCTGGTGACAAAGATGTCTGTTTTCACCTCGGTGACACCGCCTGCAACAGCAGTTAACGACTGTTCAGCACTCACAAAGGCACAAGGTGTTCACAGGCAAAAAATAACATAATGGATCAAACAAATCCTCCACACACTGTGCTTTTTAATTAGCCAGAACATATGAATCATTATTTTTTATTTCTGTTTCTCTACATGATGTTATTACAAAAGCAACTAATCAGACTTGTTTTAGTGTCTCGGGTTAAAGTTACCTCCAGATCCAGGTCGCAGTCTGTTATCGTAACCATCCAAAAGTCGGTCCAAAATACGAGTGATGTTTTCTGAGTAAATCTTCTCATTTCCCTGTGTGTTACCAAGACTGTGAAGAAAAGAGAACCTCAACGCCCCCAGCAATATGACTTCACACCCTGATCCCTGTTAAAGTTCAGAAATACAACTTACCTAATGCAGCAGAGGAGAGACACTAGAGAGAATGTCAGAGCAGACATCATGTGTTGAATTTAAACACTAATTCCTTCGTCAACTCTCTGACATTCTCATACTTAAAGAAACACTGCGACTGTGGTGTTGCTATGTACAAGGACACAGTAACTGTAATCTAATTAACAGATTAGTGAATCCACTCTGTTTTTAGACAAACATTGCATTCCCCTTTAATACGTTGAAACTTAATTTAGTATTTAAAGACAAAAATATAAATATAACGAGAATTATTTATCATTTTCAGACGGAAATCTATATAAATATAACGGGAATTATTTATCATTTTCAGACGGAAATAATGATAAACAAATTAGATTTTTTTTGTTGTAGGTACATTTTATGGACAGTAGATGGCGGTGCAAAAAAACTTGTTGTTTGTATTCGGAAGTACAATTTACAATAGAAGAAGTTTACAGTGTAAGAAACGAAACAAACCAGACACTGCTCAATAGTTATGCTTTCCTCTTGAATTTATATCCAGTTGGCAACATTATTAAACACAAGTTAAAAAAGTCATGCTTTTTAGTCATTGTGTAAACACTACTATAAACTGAGCGACAAATAGAATAGAAAAACTGCAGTGTTAGCCTGAGTTAGCCGCTGCTAGCTGGACTGGGAGCCGCTTTCCAGCCTCAGCATGTCGGTCCACTTCGACGAAAGAAGCGGCGTCGTCCCTTGTAAAACACCATGGGGCTCCTGGTACCAGACCATGGAAGAAGTCTTCATTGAAGTCAATGTTCCGAAGGGAACCTCAGCCAAGGAGGTCAGGTGTCAGCTGGGGTCTAGAGACATCGAGCTGAAAGTCGGAGGACAGGAAATATTTAAGGTAGCATCCATGATGTTACACAGAAAAAGAGCACAAATAAACGCTTTTAAAAGTTAAGGGATAGATTTACCTATTATTATTATTATTGTTATTATTATTATTATCATTATTAACATGTTATTTAGATATTTTTTTTCACCACTTTAATTTGTGATTATGAAATAAAAAGGTAGATCGGACCATTTGCTCATCATCACGGTACCCAAAATACAACGTTTTGTATATTTTAATCATTGACCTTTAAGAACTATAATTATTAAAACACAAATATTAACCTCAATATATATTTTTTCTTGTCCACCAGGGGAAGTTATTTGGCACCACTGTGTCTGACGAGGCCACATGGACACTAGGTGGGTTTCGTGGTAAACTTCCATTCTCTCGTCATTAGACTAAAGCCAACTTAATTTCCTGTTTTGTCTGTCTTTTATCCTCAGAGGACAAATGTCTCATCCAAATTATTCTAATGAAAACAAACAGAGAGGCAGGAAACTGCTGGTCCTCTCTGCTGGAGGGAGAGTACGGGGCCAACGCCTGGGTCCAGGACCAAATGCAAAGAAAGCTCACACTAGAGAGGTTCCAGCGAGAGGTCAGTATTAATTCTTATTCATTATTGTAGCTGTTAGTAATTAGCCATTTGTTTTTAGGCATTAGGATAATGTATTCAAGGTTATGGGCAAGAATAATTTAAAGTTGTGAGGTTAAAAACATGTTATCTGTAGTTCTGAGTATTTAGCCTATTTGTAGTTCTGTTTTTGATTCTAATTGAATAAAATAAATCAGTTTTTCTTATTTTTTCTTCTTCTTGTTTCCAGAATCCTGGGTTTGATTTCAGCGGTGCAGAGATCTCTGGGAATTTTCAGGGTGGTGGTCCTGATTTTTCCAGCCTACAGAAGTGAGCACTGGCATCGTCAGACATCACCTGCATCTAATGAACACTGCTGACATCTATAGAGACAAGACTGTCAGGCCGACAAAGCCAGCACCAGAACTCTAAAGGATGGAGACTAGACATGTTCCATCAGGACCCTGTAAAGAACGTGTAATAAAACTCTTTAGAATATGGACTTGGTTACCAGCTCCTGTTTTACTGCCTGGTCTGGAGGATTTATCTGTGAAGTCTTAGGGCACAGGTGCACTGTTCAATGTCTCTTTGTCTCAATAACGAAACAGCAGTAACTTTTCAATAATTTTATTGAAAGGTACAAGTTCATCAGTTAAGCAGATGGGTGTCGGCCAAATTCAACTAAGACAACAGTTTGGGAAACTGGAAAAGAAAAATGCAGCACAAGTTCCAATCCACATTTCGACCACAACAACTGAGTGAGAGTCAGTGGAAAAACAACTCATCTGTAACCTCTGACATTTCAGCATTAATAGCCATGTATGACACATTTGTCATGAGCCTCACTTCACTGGAGTAAACCAGAGCCCCATCTCTTTATTAATGTTTAAAAAAAAAAAGTCATCACCTTGGGTAGGAGTGTGCATTCAGTACAGCTTAGCAACCTAGGGTAGGAGTTAAGGACTTTGGGCCCGATTTCTTGGTTCCATTTTTTGATGTTCACAAAATCCTTCTCCCTCCTCTTCCACATGGTGGACTGAGGACCTAGGTGGTTCATTACTTATAAGCTTAAAACCAGCAACCCGTTCCAGGACAAACCAAATACCTTGGTACGGATTTAAACAAGAACATACTCTACACTTGTGCATAAAATTCACTGCAGTAAAAAGGGGGTAAACTTCTGCTCTGTTACTTGCCAAACTTTTAACTTTATAAGTTGTTTATTTTCCTTAAAGAAATTCATCATCGCAGATGAAGGTCTGTAAAGAAAATAACTTGAAGGTGGGGGGTAATAGTGACCTTCATGCAAAAAAAAAAAAAATCTCATCTAATCAACAAAATTGTAGGGACAGTTCCTATAGTTTTCCTAACTGAAGGTCATCCAATTATACTTCTGAATTTTAACAGCCTGACTCGGGGATGGTAGGCAGATGAGCGATTTTGTAGTAGCTGTGTTTCAGCTGACGGGCCGTTCTTCCCGAGATGGTCCAGCGAAGTCTCTGGCTGTTGGGTTTGGAGCATTTGGTGTTGGCGTAGTCACTCAGGCATTTGCCAACCAACTCCCGCACACAGACCAGATCTCCATCCTTGACCTGGACACAGACAAACGTAATCGTTCAGTTAGAGTAACTTTCTGCTTCTAGTCTAGAAGGTTATATTTCCAATACACTCGCTGGCATTCGATCGTTTGATCACTGTTTGTGTTCGTGTAAATGAGGGGACGGTACATTGTAAAAACTAGCTGAACCAACCTGCACCTGACCTTGACATGGTTAAGACTTTTGAAAGCAACAAGCCCTGAATTGGTGTGTGTTAAACACCAAGGCTGACTGATACAAGACAGTAAAATATTCGCTTCTTACGTTCAGTTGCTGCTGCAGAGCAGTCATGGCGTCCGATATCTTGTCGTTGTGCTCAGGGTCGTGTTGTTCCTGAGCCTCAAAACACAGCAGAGCTATGGCGAGCAGTGACGGCTGCAGAGAGGGGAGAGGACACACTTTATTATTATGTAGCACAAAACTGGACATCTGATAAGTCTGTATGAACAAATGGGTCATTCTGAAACATTGGTTGTCTGGTTATTTTTGGCCTACCTTTATTTTGGAGAAGACAAATGAGCAGTGACAAGCTTTAAGCTGAGCCTCCAGTCTCTCAAGACTCAGAATCGTTTGGCTGAAAAAAAAAAAGGAAATTACTTTGTTAGGCATCACCTAAACTTATTAGCTCAAAAGACGTAGTACTGTAATGTAATTTAATACTGATGTTTAATTATGACAAAGGCCCTCAGTTTGACGTGACAGTCCATACCTCTCTGCATCAAGTTGCTCCTGGATGTGGCTGTGGAACAGACGGAGAAAGCGAAGAGCTGTGGGGGCCTTCACCTTCCAGAAGAGCTTCTCCATGATAATCTTCTCCATCCTTATCATGTCCGACACTGTGAATTTGTTCTGACTGATGCGAATCAGGTCGTTGGCCAGAGGCACGTTCTTTTCCTCTTCTGATGATTTGACCGCGATGTAAAAGCAGCACAGGCCCACACAGGACAGGTGCTTCGGTTGAATCTGCCAGAGAAACAAAAGCCATGATGATTTTTTTAAAATGTATTTTAGAAAACTACACAGCAGGGTAAAAACAGTAACCCAGGATGGTTGTGTACAAACCTTCATTACTGAGAGGAAACGATCCAGCAGGCTGATGGCCAGTGAGAAGGTCTCTGAGCAGAATCCAAAGAATCTGGTCAGAGACAGCAGGTCTTTCACTTCCAGCTCCCTCAGTCTGGTGGTCATCCTGAGGCCATTGTCCTGGGAGCCCTCGATGAGCCTCAAGCCGCTCAGCTTCGGTTGGTAACGGCTCTCCACATCCAGGAGTGCCTTTAGCTGAACTGCAAATGGCTGCACTTCACGTCCTGTGACTGTGTCAATCATCTGTACCGACAGAAAGAAAGTCAACACTGAAACTATTTTGTGACAGTTTACCAGAACATCACCTAGATCTATTGAGGTCATTAGCCACAGTTGCTATTGGTAAAGTATTAGATTTAATTATTAAGGCAGTAAGTCGTTGCTAATTGTTAAATTAGATTTAATTATTAAGGCAGTAAGTGTTGTTGCTAATATTAAAATTGTAACCGACTCAAACTGATTTTGCTACATGACCTCGCTCTACTTGGTCTGTTGGAAAAAACAATCAACAACAGGAAAGGCTGGTTAGATTATCCTCACATAGATAAGACATGAATGACGGCTTGTTTCTAAGGTGATAAGAAAACAATGGGCAACTTTGGTGAAGAACCAGTTTGGAAAAATAAATAATTTGTGTTATTGAATATTTAACTCTGATTACCTTCCACTAACTTTTCCATTGTATTCAAAACTTGTTCGACTTAGGGGTTAGCATTGGCTGTTTATCTGCTAACCCCACCTCCAGACTGCAACTTTGACTAAACAAACACAACAGTTCTAGCAGCCGGCAGGTTTATAATGTAGAACCCAGTCACTGCAAAATTGTTTGTGAGGTTTTGGATGAAATGAATTAAATATATTCTGATGTTACTGTAATACTGATTCTAAAACCACACTTCAATGTGTTTTCTAGATACCAGCCAAACGGCTGCCCTAGTAGAAAAGGCCAAACCTCAACAACAGGTCTGTGTTAGTGACCTGTATTGCTCAATATAGCTGAGCCGCCCACTGCTGCCAAATTTGTTAGTTATCCAGTAACGAGTCTTCCCTCAGCAGCTGTCACTGAACTGGACTTAACTGGATACAGGGGTGGAGCTCAGCATACAGATTAAACAAGGGGTGCTGTTCAGGTTCTCCACAGTGTATGTAGCAATTTATTGTTGAATAAAATAATAATAAAAAACAAACTATAATCATCTGCTATATCTCTATTTTAAGGAGTGTTTTTAGCAGTGACGCAAAGCGAGGTTTCAGTCACAGGCGCTGGCCGTGTTTGCGTCAGTTCAAAACCTGCGTCATGTCGGGACATGTCCCTGCCGCACACAGCAACGGGGAACAGACACACAGACGAAGGACAATAACATACACCTATACAAGTGAAATGACACAAACCTTAATAAACAACGTCAGAAACTATACAGACACGGAGATGTTAAGATGGCTGGTGTCCATGGTTTATAGATATTAAGAGAAATACTCAAGCAACGTTACAGCTTAGCCATTAGCTGAAACCGCTAACTTGATGGCCGTCAGTTTTTTTAGAATTCAGAACATTATTTTTGCACTTTTTACACTAATAGCAACTACTTCGTATAAACAATAAGTATAAAATTCAATATGGACTCAGACATGTATGTTATTAAACAAAAATCAGAGAGAACAATGTTTAACTTACCTTGTATGGAGTTACGCTGTCGTTAATATTGCAGAAAATAAGTAGAGGAAAAAAGCAGGTGCTCGTTTTGAACACGCAAAAATGTGATTTCAAAAACACAAAAGAATAAAGTATGGACTTTCATAAAAGAAAGTTTTAAGCATAGGTTTTTTGTCTGCCTATGCACACCCCCCTACCCTTGGAGTAAGGCGATGGGGAAAAGGACAGTTTACGTACTGACGCTGCCGTAAATCCGTGCCCTTCTCCAGAGTGAGCTCTCAATGGTCAAAACATGGATGACGTAACCAGGGTTGTATGTTTAATTGGTTGTCGTTGTCATCATTCCGTTATAATCCCCGCCTTTATTGTAAGAAGGGCCAATCACAGCTAAAATCTGGGACACTAGGTTATTTTCTTTTTTGCCCGCAAAAACTTAATAGATATCACATAACTTTTATTTTAATCCAGTGTTATATTCGATTAAAAAATAGAATTATATATTAATCATTTTTGTACACGGTATTTAAAAATACTATTATTGAACATCAAATCAACATCAAATTAAAAAATGCAAAACAAATGAATTAATAGTGGTTATTTAGGACAGGATAGGCCGTTACATTTGGACTTTATCTAGGATTTCTTACATGTTGATATTAAAATTATTATTATTTTTATGTATGCACAAATGCTCTTTAGAACAACCTAGAATGTACTAGAATGTTCTGGAATTTTTTTTGTCAAGTCATTTCTAATGAAATGACCGCAGTCTGTTTTTTTCTGTACCCACAAGCTTTTACAACATCTGCATAGATTCAGATTAGACCAGAACAGCTAAAACAAACAAACTTGTTTTTTGTTTCTGTAACTAACAATATTATATGTAACTAACTAAATATGATCTATATATAAAATATTTTGTTATTAAGCATTTATGTTTTATAAATTGATCTATCTTCACATTAAGTATAAAAATATACAATAAGAGAAACAAGTCCAAATCTCCATAGATTATGTTTATTATTCAAGGTTATACAATTTTCAATGCACCTCTTGAGACCTGCAACTTTGATAAGTGGAATTAACTGTTTTTAATGTCAGCTGTTTCTGTACTTAATTTACAACAATACATTTACTTATTTGGATTAAAACTAAGACATTTAATTTATTTAAAGTGCATAGTATATTGAGAATATAATGTGCTACAGTGGTGTGCCTAGATCACTGCTGTTTTATGAGAGGGCAAAAGTTGATCATCATTCTTGGATGCCACTCTGTTCCATCTTTCTTGAATACATTCTTGATGTATTTGTACACTCCTCATTTGCCAAATTAGTATTTAATGCTTCCTAAAATTACTATCTGTCCTGATCACTCATTTACAATGCATGTAGCTGATAATACTATTTATATTGCTAGGTAACAAGATAGAAATACCTAGAAAAGTGATATTACAATCTATTTTCGACAATTCACTAACTCAATAATGCAATTATTCCAGAAGGCTCTTTCTAAGTGATATTACAATCTATTTTTGACAATTCACTAACTCAAAAATGCAATTATTCCAGAAGGCTCTTTCTCACTATTTTCATTTCTTGTAAAACACCAATCTGAAAAGAAAAGAAAAAATGAAAAGAAAAAGTTTGGATCTAAAGAGAGTAAATGTTGTTATGGAGCTGAAATTAATTACCTGAGCAGAGAATGATCATAAGGATTATACAGTATATTTATCAGGCCTCTTATTATGGTAACACAAAACAGCGAGGGGTGGGTGGAGGTCACGGGCACATGGCTGTTTATACAGAGCTGCAGAAGTAATTCCACACCATTTCCTAATATGCTGTATATCTCACAGTGTAACCTGACACCTATCAAAACCTACAAACACGGCAGGTTAAAGACGAGCACATGTAGAACAACAACAGAAGATTTGGCAGTAACGGTTCGTTTTCCATTCCTCTAGGGATGAAGGTTATCAGCCATGCAGAGGCCATGCTACAGAGTAGTGCTGACAAGCATCTGTTAGATTAACATGAGTTGGAAAAACAAAAAAACAGAGACTAGCGCACCGTCAGGGAGGTCAAGTGCTTTTCTATAAAACTGTCATCACGTCCAGTAAAAATAATACAATTGGGTGTTAGTCCGTGATCTTTTGCAGTGGTAGAAAATCTTCTAATTCAAATTCCTTCCCGAGGTTAGGGAGCACGCAGATGGAAGACTAAAAAAGCTACAGAGAGGAAATACAAGCAGAAAACATGTCACTGACAGACAACAAGCTCATGAACGACATGAAAATATCAGCAGTTTAATAAGACGTTTGTTTGGTTTATTGCATGATTCAAATTAAATGGTTATGGAGAAAAATAAACAAAGTTAATAAACCGATGGTTTAATAAATGATGAAAACAGTTGAAGAGGGATGATTTACGGATGCAGAGAACAGGCATAAAATAAATAAATGTGATTTCAGCTGACTGACAAAAGAACCGCTGCTCCGTTTGTATTTTGATCATAGTTCTTTATTGGAATTAATTGGAAGGCAAAAGATAAGAATATCTTCAGTCATTGTAAAAATATAAGTATATATATTTTGTTATACTTACGTATTAGATTTTATTGAATACAAACAGACTTGCTGACCAGTAAATTCTGGTCTGCTCTCATCTAGTAGTATAGATTTTACTTTAAAAAAAAAGAAAGAAAAAAAAGGAGAGACATTTCATGTCCAACCAAATTTGAAATGTGTGTTACTAAAAAAAATGGAGGGTAAGTTTTATGAATTCATATAATTGGTTTTGGTATTACTGTATGTGTTTAGCAGATTCATTATTGCCTACACATTAAATACACTCTGTAAGGCTAACCTGTCCTTCAGTAAAATTATTTAGGCTCACGTGTTTGTCACAGTTCAAATGTTGACACATAGAGTGTCAGTAAGTCGTAAGAATGTGTTTTTTCCAGTGCAGCTGGCAGACACAGTCCTGGATTTCCTGGAAGTTTGATCCATAAGTCAACTGAAATGGGCAAAGAAAAATAATAAATTATGGAAATGAGCAAAAAAAGAACATTCTGGATTCAAAATATGGCAAAAAGTATGGCAAAAATGAACAAAGGAGAAAACACCACAGGTACAGACAGACAACCTTATTGTTGGCTTTGGACGGTCCGTCAATGAAACGTGTAAAGAATCTACATTTTTTTTAAGTGATAGAAATATAGGGCGTGTAATGAAACATCAATGGAATTCTATCATTTAAAATATAAGAACTATACAAACGACAACAGACTATCATTAGATTCAGCGGATCATTAACAGACGTGAGCCCTGCCTGAGACACAGTCTGGCTGTTCAGACTGCAGAAACGTAGACACCAGCCTGTGGTGTGAAAGCTGTGACTCCTCCGACTGTGTTTGGGGACGCCGTGTCAGTCTGAATCTGTCTCTGTATCACTTTCTGGCCCAACTTGGCTTCTGGGAATATAACACTATCCCATTATTCACAATGGATGCACTGCTCTCCCCTCGATCCAATAACCTACAAATAGACACTCAACTAAGAGGTGACATGTCATGTTGTGATGATGCCCAACCACTGGGCCGAAAGACAGAGAGACAGAGATCATCAGGTGTACCGTGGTAAAATGATCCAGTTCCTTTGGCTGAAAAACTGTTAATATTAACTGCTACATATTTCTATATATACATGTCTTCAGAAAACGCATACATAACATAATTAGCTTCTTTGTGGATGAGACAACTGACAGGCAGAGCAATTGAATACTCAAACAAAAAGTAATAAGTCTTTCTTTAATTCCTGCCAATATATAAGTGCTAAACAGTGCTAAACAGGCCCAGTTTTCAAACTGAGAAAGTATAAATATATAGTATATATATATATATATATATATACTATACATATTTCTATATATACACATGTCTTCAGAAAACGCATACATAACATTAACAACTGAGGAAGCCATCGTCAATATGTTGATTTACACTTGTCGTTTTCCTACTGTGATCTGTTATAATTGTCAATGTTAAAAACTGTAGAGCAATGTGCAAAATTAAAAAAAAGAAAACAAACTCTCAAACTGATAAAAAAAAGAGCAACTCACTTTTTCTTGTCTTTGTCTTTCTTGAACGGCTGCTGTGAGCAGCCAGTGAGCGCCTGTCCCATCAGTGTCTCAGCTGCCATCTTTCTTCTGTTGAACGCATTCATCTCCTCCTCCAGCTCTCGCCTCTTCTCCTCCAGATTCATCTTTTCATCCTGGTGCAGCCGCTTCAGCTGCTCAAACCTCTCATGAAGCTGCAAAAATAATGACGACGGGAGAATGGAGGGGACACTGTACATGGTAAAACCTCGGCGAGGTGGTTTCTCTTAACAAGGCGATTCATGTTGACATGTTGACATGTTGAGTCCTCACCTCTTTTTCCTTTTCTTTCAGCTCTGCTTCCGTCTCCTTCACTTTGTTGACAAACATCTGCCTCATATTTTCCTCTTTGCGTTGCAGCTCCTTAACAAACTCCTTCCTCTTGGCTTCGTATGTTTCCTGAAGGCTAAAGGATCAGGATAGAAGAAACAGTCAACTCAGCTGAAAACATCAAACACCATGACATCACAGGCAGCCGTCTGTCTTGACATTAGGGAAGAATTCTAAGTTTTTGAGTTATATTTTTGCATATTTTTCTTGACATTTTTCTATATTAATAATTCCATCATTTGAATCAGTCATAAATAAAAACAGGTGTGAAACACACGACCAACTGCTGTTATTTGCCTTTCTGTTCTAACACTACAGAAACCTTTTTAATTTTATTTAGAAATGTTGATTAACCACAACTGCTGTGATTTAATCCGACACCATGCTAACAATGCTAACATCTACAGTAAGTTACTCATCATATCCTAAAAGAATCAGATTCCCGTGTGTGCCACAAGAGGGAGCTAAAGCACCACCATGGGTACACGTACCATATTTTGAGAGCCACTGTTTTAGTGGTTAATATGTCATTAAATATGGGGGTCATACAAACAAAATGATTGATGCACATTTGTGTGTAATTTTGTGTGGCTAAATGTTTAATTAATAGTTTTTTACAGATCAGTTTCTGGATGTAGGCCGTAGACTGTCCTCGTCTCACCTGAAGGACTGGCTGTCTGAATCTGTGTCCTTGAAGCCCATCTCCTCCAGCCTGCAGCGGCGGTACAGTTCATAATGACGAGCGTGCGTTTGGTCACGGAGATCCTCCATGTTGACTCGCAGAAGCATCTCTCTCAGCTTCACAAAGTCACAGTGGTTTTCGTTCTCCACTGCAAACCAAACCAAAAGTTGGCAGAGTAAATCACTTGGTTTTTTTGTGCTTTTAACAAAAATGAAGAGTTAAATTAAAATGAGAACATTAGGTCGCAGCTTACCCTGCACTGTTCCCCAGGGGTACAGTCTTGCCTTCACCATCTTGTTTCCAATTTGAACTTCCTCTACACTTCCCACCACAGCGAAGGGAAGATGTGTCTGAGATTTGGAAAATTAAAACTGAAAAACACTGCTGTTTTTTTATGCTTTGATCCTACAAATAATGTCGTGCAAAAAAATATCAAACACCTTCATGTCATCATGCAGTGACTTTGACAGACTTGTGGTTCATGTCATTGGTATATAAATATTACCGTGACTCCTAGGACTTACATTCATGGAGGCGTTGATTTCTGTGACCGCCTCGTCCTCTGTGGGGAACTGATAAATCTGAACCCCGTTACTGACCAGCTCGCTCATGATCTTGATCTTTAATTTGTCCAGTTCACTCTTGGACACTGTGTCTGCCTTTGCAATGACAGGGATAATGTTCACCTGCAAGATAAAACATGATGTACTGTAAGAGGCGGTCAGATGAAACAAACAAACAAACAAACACGGTTTTGTACGTTGGATTCATCACCTTGCTGTCCAGCTTCTTCATCGTGACAAGGTCCAGAGACTTCAGGGAGTGACCGGTGGGAGTGATGAAATACAGGCAGACGTGGATTCTTGTGTCATGGTAGTTGAACAGAGAACGCTTAATTTTCATCTCCTCCTCAAGATACCTCCCAAACTGGGTATCGATATAGTCCAGAACAGGTTTATAGCTGCAAAGATAAAGTAACAGAAACAATGTTTTTTTTTTTAAAAAAAAAGATTTGTTTTACGATTGAAGGAGATTCACGGATCAGGTGTGGGTCAAGAACAAGGATGTTCTCAAATCATCATTTCACAGTGAAACCCTGCAGCCAGGTCAAAAAGAGTCTCGTAATTTCTGAAAAAAGAGCTGAATGTGCAGTAACCGTCGCACATCATATGATTTCACTTTTTTTTTTGCAGCTCTTCTCATCTTCAGTGGACTTTATAATTTCACTTTAAATGTGAATAATGTTTCTGTGTCAGTTGCCGCAACACTGTCAATAACACAGAGAGTGTGCAGTCAGCAGGTCTGATTGGCGCAGCTCAGCTGTTCTTACTGTCCCATAAATCTGTTTACTTTTCATCCATTAGAGAAGGTGTGCGCTACAACCTACAAATATGTCTCATAACCAAAAATCCAAAAAAGAGCTTTAGATTATCATTCTCTGCTGCTCCAGGCTTTAAAAGACTACGGAAGTGACTTTACTTCTCTCTCGCTGTTTGCATGCCAGTAATTGGACGGAGCTCTTTGTGAATGTTTTACAGTCTGAGTGTGTTGGCTGTAACCCAGCACGAGAGGCAGAAGTGATTGATAGTTTGTGCAGCCATGAAAAGAACATCTCACAGTGGAGCTAAATTATTAAAGGGCTTAACTTTAAAACTGCACTGTGACTGACTTTACACTGCACATCTTCACGGAAGTCACATGAACCTTTACTTTTAGTAAAGCTGCAAAAAAAAAAAAAAACCAACAGAGGGGGAAAATGATCACCTGTCTTCTTTGTTGATTTGGTCTCCGAAGCCGACGGTATGAACGATGGTCAGCTTAAGGTTGACATTGCTCTCCTCTAGGTCATAGGTTTGTGGCTGTAGCTGAACCTTATTCTGGTAGTGGCTGGCTTCTTCGTTTTCAAACACTGTGTTGAAAAGGGTGTTCATCAGGGTGGACTTGCCGATGCCGGTCTCACCTTAGGTGGACAGAACAGACACAGAACTGAGTGTCTGTACATTCATCGTTGTCCTACATGGATTTTGAACTGCTGAGTTAACTTACCGACACAGAGGATGTTAAAACAAAAGCCGTTAGCGACCGATTTGCTGACCAGCTGATCTGGTAGACTGTCGAAGCCCACATGGCCCGAGAGCTCCACCGTTCTCTTGTCTTCATTCTGAGGTTTCTGTGACTGAAACGGTACATTAAGTCTCTCATGTTGTATAAAAATATAAACCCCCTTCTCCCTCATATAGTTTTTATATAAAATTATCGATATATTTTATAAACGACTTGTGTTGTCTAGGTAACTATAGCATAGAGTTCAGGTTTTCTATGGCACTGTACACCTCTGTTATTATGTGTTATGGTCAATATAAAACTTTCACATGTACAGTATATTAATTCTGCAAATTCACTCTGTGAAACTAACTAACTACTAACTACTGCTTTGGGTGTTAAAATCAGCTCTGTCTATTGTTTGACTCACACTACTGCCTCCTAGTGGCCCTGTTTCACATCTAGAAGAAAATTGACCATTAAAACCACTGAAGGAAACAATTGTCCATGAAAACGTGTTTTATTTCTGTTTCTGGAGCTTGAGCTCTTCTCTGTTGTCACTAAGTGAAAGGTGGAGTAAGGCAATATCTCCTATAGTCTCCAAGTTACCAAAACAATTTATGGTTTGGAATGTGTGTGTGTGTGTGGGAGGAGAAGGACTGGATTACCCAGAGGTCACCCATCCAACTGAGGGTAAGGGGGTTCTCATACTCCCCTGATGTCATGCTGGTGATAACCTGTTTTACAATACATTAGCATACAGCCAATAATAGTACTTGATTAAAAGTACTAATGAAAGAGAACATTTTTTTAAACTCAAGTTTTTCTAGTACTAATGAAAGAGCATTCAATGAAGAGCATTTTTTTAAACTCAAGTTTTTCAGAGTTTTATGTTATATATGTCTAAATGTATTATTCATAAATATATAGTGATTTCCTCTGGCTGTAACAAACAACACTGGCATATTGGCATTGTGCAAATGTCTCAACATGAAAACCAGGACGTGTCCAATACAACAATCATGGATCAACAAACACACACACACACTCACACACACATGCAGCACAAAGAGCTCTTTATGTCCATGTTATTTTACAAAGTGGGACTAAGTCCAAGCTGCCGGCTGCCCTGGTACCCATAACTCCCCATTCCAGACCGAGACAAACATGCACTCTTCTCTAACTCAGCAAAGTGTCTCCTCCTTTACGCAGCAACCTGTAAGCAGGCGACTAAAAATAACAAACAGATAAGACTGTGAAAATCCGTTAATAACACAGGGCAATGAATTACATGTTCGGCTGAGCACTACGTCACCGAACAAAATGATGACTCTTAAGAAAATGTCGGCATCCGTGGGGTCAGAAAAGCCACAGGACGGTTTGAAAATGTCATGTTCGGTTTTCCTTAGAATGCATTTGATCGCCATAATATGTAGAAAATTTCTCATATTTAGTCATACAAATACATTTTTAAAGCATCTTTGAAGAAATATACAACCAGTATCTGGAAATCATGGTACATTTTGTAAATATCTTGACTCCACATTGCAAAACTGTAAATCCTAGCTGTTTTTTTACCATATTTTTTTTTTTAAACTATTGAATGTTGAGTAAATGAAGTGATCTCATTTGCTTACAGATTTCCATTAAACTACAGGCTGTATAAATAAGAAAACAACAATGCAAATACAAATGTTGAAATGATACAAAACCATGTTGTCAAACATCATCACTTCTAATGACTATTTCACTAAAAACTAAAGGCACTTCAGATCAATGACCAGAACTGTATATTGGCGGGTTGGGATTATCATTTTACATCATCATACATTATTCACGACTTGGGTAAATGGTAAAAACACGGATATGACTCTATAGCTAAGAGACTTCTGCTTATGTTTATCCTCTTAACTGAGCTTCTGAGGCCGCCTGTCCTACACTGGGTGGCCTCGTTAACCCAGCACACCTGTCACAGCGGCTAACCTGGTAAACAACAGACGAGTGCTGACGCACAGGCGTCGTGTTGCACAGCGTGCGTACGTGGTCGGATGCTGAAGTGCGCCTTTTCGTTCAGCAGCTACACCGAGCCGCTCTGTCAAGTGCGTCAGTGCACAAAGACAAAACGTTCGCCTTCATTAAATGTGATCGGTTTTCTCAGCACCGCAGCGCCGCTGCAACATTACCCACACATACACTGCACATACCATCATCGCCATCAGCACCATCAGTACCATCACCATCAGTACCAGCACCAGAACACCTGACCGTCTATACGACAGAGGATCTCGCCCCCCTGTCTGTGACGGTGACAGTGCATCCGTTCGTTCAGTAAATGTGGTCGTACTTACTGCTGTGTCCGATCTCACTCCGCTCTCAATGTGGCCACTTGGAGGCAACACCCCCTCTTTGTTGGAGGCTGAAACTGCAGCCTCCGGGCAGAATCCTCAGCCTTATTTTAAACAATCAGAGTTTAATGTACGATCATATCAACCTACAGGCTGAGGTGTGTAGGAAGTGGTCCAACAAATGGACACCTGCAGGACACTTTCAAAGCACAGGGAGTACAAAGTACAAAGTATGTACTTCGACCACTAACTACTTGCCACAACACTAGCTCTTCCAATAAAAAAAATGTGTAAAAATGTAATTTTTTGTAAAATAATTTTTCTCCTAAACTTTCTTTATTCTTGGGGTCATTCTACCTGCATTTGCTGCACGGTGGAATGTGTTTTTTGTATTTGGACATGGATATTTTTTGTCTGTCTTTTCAGCAAGTACTTTCATAACCTTTTTCTTTTTTTTTTTAGTTCTCTGGTTGTTTTGATATTTTGATTTAAAAACCCCTCTTAAGTTTTTTTTCAATCAAATATTTTATTAAAGTATTTTATACATATATGTGGCCTAAATTATAGTATATTCTGCCTTTGGATTACATGCAACATGCAGTTATTTGGGGACAATAAAGTCAGTTTTATATCTTCATCAAAAAACCTTCTCTCACTTCAAAAACAAGAAAACAACGTCTGTGTCCCATTAACGTTATGCAAGTGTCAAAGTTCAAGACGCCTCACGCTCACACAAAAAGTCTGCCCATACCGGCTAAATCCTTTCTAGGGTTGTTGGACACAATCCCAGCAGTAAAGCACAAAAATGTGTTAAACTCCCCAAATGAGTTTATGTCAATTTTTAATCCTGTCATTTAATCACTAGGCCACAGACTGCCCAAAAGTCTATTATAATTGATATTAAAGTTTGCAAGTTTTCTAAAAAAAAAAAAAGATTGTGTATGTCCTTAGTGCACTAATAAGTAAAAGTGTTTTTTTTTTTAAATAAATCAGAAAGTGGGAATGGGAGGGGCATTGTGGGGGCTGTTTGACCAGGGCGCCAAATATGCTCGGTTCGCCCCTGGAGCTGAGCTTCCCTGCAGCCAGTGTCTAACGGGGAGGGCGGTGATGAACGGCTGGATTTTGTGGGCGCCGGAAGCAGCAGGTTGTTGAAGGACAGAGGAGAGGGGCGCGGATTGTCTCCGAGGTTTCATCTGAAGCTCTCACCTCCAGTCTGTCATATTTACCCACTTTTTTGTTTGTTTCTTTTTTGTTTTTGTTTTTTACCAAGGACGGAGATCGAACATGGCTTTAACGCAGGAATCCGTGTTGTCTTTTTTGCTGGAGCACGGAGGAAAGGTGAAAAACTCCGAGCTGCTCCACTCTTTCAGGAATCACATCAACTGCACTGATCCCGCGGAAAAGCTGCAGAACAGAGACGTGTTCAAAAAGCTGGTGAACAGCGTGGCCGTGGTCAAACAGATGGACGGGGTGAAGTTCGTGGTGGTGAAGAAGAGGTACCAGGACTTTGTCCGGGAGAGGACGCAGATGGATGACAGTTTGTCCGGCCACTCTTCCAGCTTTTCCTGCGCGTCTCCACAGAGGGACGAGGACAGCCGGCTGGTTTATTCCGACATCGAAAACAATAACAATGTGTGCTGTCCGTTAGACGTTAGCTGGAGTAAATGTCCTGAGAACATCACACACACGTCGGTGGAGTGTGTGAGGAAGGTAGACGCTAAAAGCAGAGACTTAAATGGCACCGTCAAAGTTCTAAACGTCTCTGGAGATCACGTGAGCAGATCGGGCAAATCTGGAGCTGTGTTTGCCGTCGTTGCGGTGAAATCCCCTCCACCTGTACACGATGGGCTGCATCCACACGTTCATCGACAAAACCAAAACTCACACAAAACCTCAGCGCCACCTGTGGTGCAACCTGTGAACTCCCCCAGGCGTCAAAAGGATGCACATGAACGTCAGTGCTCCAAGGACGCCATCCCACCTGTCGTTGGTTCACAAGTGAAGCCTCAAAGCAAGTGCACAAAACCTGGAGATGATGTCAGGTATGTCGAGTCAGTGCCTTTGGAGCCACTAGCCCATGAGTGGCTGGTCAAGTGTGCTGCTGGACTGTGGGGTCAAATCCCTGCTTTGCTCCAGCAGGACCCAGGACTAGCACAGAGGAAGGACTTCATGTCCGGCTTCACGGCACTCCACTGGGCGGCCAAGGACGGTAACTGCGCCGTGATCCGCAAGCTGGTGGACACCTCCAGGAGAAGAGGCGTCTACATTGACATCAACGGTAAAAGCCACGGGGGTTACACGCCGTTACACATCGCAGCCATGCACGGTCAGGCCGAGGTCATGGCTCTGCTCGTGCAGAGGTATGGAGCCAGCGTCAATGAGAGGGATCATGCTGGCAAGAAGGCCCTGCACTACCTGGGTGAAGGTGCGTCGGCCGAGACCACGGCACTTCTGGGGGGACTGCCCCGGAGCAAGAGCAGGGAGAGGACGGAGGGGGAGGACGACAGAGACCACAGCAAAGGATTCACCGGCATCAGTAAACTGTTTCAGCCGCACATGGGGAAGAAACACAGGACGACGACGAAGAATTACGCTCACGACTGGTGAGGAGTAGATCGCCCAGCGGTCATCGGACGATCTTGGTTTGAATCCCTGCCTGAAGCTGGACTGTGACTGTGTCTAGTCAGCACCAAAAACTACCCCCCGACGCACTATCAACATGCAGTTCCCTGCTCCTGTGCACCCAGTCCACCGGGTGTTTCACAGACGGGTTAAATGCAGACAGTAATTTCCCTCAGGGGAATCTTTGAGTACTTAAAAATAAAATGAAAAAAAGAATCTTATCTCTAAATATGCTGTAGTTCACTTTGAAACCATCATAAAATGTGATTGTAAGTACTTAACAAAAGTGATCAATTATATATTTATACATTTTGTTTAACGCCTGTTTGTCTTATCAGCACTGGTCACAAAACCTGGAGATGATGTCAGGTATGTCGAGTCAGTGCCTTTGGAGCCACTAGCCCATGAGTGGCTGATCAAGTGTGCTGCTGGACTGTGGGGTCAAATCCCCGCTTTGCTCCAGCAGGACCCAGGACTAGCACAGAGGAAGGACTTCATGTCCGGCTTCACGGCACTCCACTGGGCGGCCAAGGACGGTAACTGCGGCGTGATCCGCAAGCTGGTGGACACCTCCAGGAGAAGAGGCGTCTACGTTGACATCAACGGTAAAAGCCACGGGGGTTACACGCCGTTACACATCGCAGCCATGCACGGTCAGGCCGAGGTCATGGCTCTGCTCGTGCAGAGGTATGGAGCCAGCGTCAATGAGAGGGATCATGCTGGCAAGAAGGCCCTGCACTACCTGGGTGAAGGTGCGTCGGCCGAGACCACGGCACTTCTGGGGGGACTGCCCCGGAGCAAGAGCAGGGAGAGGACGGAGGGGGAGGACGACAGAGACCACAGCAAAGGATTCACCGGCATCAGTAAACTGTTTCAGCCGCACATGGGGAAGAAACACAGGACGACGACGAAGAATTACGCTCACGACTGGTGACCAGCCCACGGCCCAGTGGTCATCGGACGATCTTGGTTTGAATCCCTGCCTGAAGCTGGACTGTGATTGTGTCTAGTCAGCACCAAAAACTACCCCCCGACGCACTATCAACATGCAGTTCCCTGCTCCTGTGCACCCAGTCCACCGGGTGTTTCACAGACGGGTTAAATGCAGACAGTAATTTCCCTCAGGGGAATCTTTGAGTACTTAAAAATAAAATGAAAAAAAGAATCTTATCTCTAAATATGCTGTAGTTCACTTTGAAACCATCATAAAATGTGATTGTAAGTACTTAACAAAAGTGATCAATTATATATTTATACATTTTGTTTAACGCCTGTTTGTCTTATCAGCACTGGTCAAATGACTTGTATTAAAACTTCACCAATGATTAAACTCATTGACTTATGTTAATGTGTGTGTCTTTACTTTGACCAATCAAAAAAAAGCAGCTGTTGCTACAAGATTACACACTTGTATTCAGTCGTGTGTCTCACAGAAAACTACAGTTGTGGAGTGAAGTAGTGTGGGAATACACCTTGGTACTTCTACTTTAAAGCAGTGTGGTACTGAGTGGGGCCAGTTACAGGCTGGTGCTCAGAGCAGTGGAATGTCCTTTATCAGTGTCTTTGTGAACTTGGGGTTTTAATGGATGCGCATTCTTCAGTCAAACTAACATGGGGCCCTGTTCAGTCTGTGGACTGAAAGACAAGATCACATAATGATCACTTAGTTCATACTCAGCACAACAGAGCTGATCTCATTCAAACCAGTTCCAGTGTAAACACATTTTACATCCAGTATCGCCAGGGGCAGTTTGTATGAAACAGAATACCAACCGGACTAACTGCTGACTATGTTCAACACAAAGGCACTACAATCACAATTAAACCCTTTTTTTAAAATTTAATTTCACATCCGGTTGCCTAACTGAACTCTTTAATCTCTTCAACCTAATTTTTTAAGTTTTTGAAAACTATATATTTCTGCTTTTCCTCTGCCCTTAAATGGGATAATGCAGGAATGTTTGTCTTCAGTATAAAACGCTAAAAACTAGCTGTACAGAAGGCATGACGTTCATTTAACTGAAAGCATGATGATTATGATTCCTGAGAGGGCTATTAAGTAAAAGTAAAGTTGTCTTTGTCGGTAAAATATCAAGTATAGCCAAAAGGTATTACAAACAATAGTTATACTTATTAGTCACCCGGAAATAATGCCACTAAAACGTCTTTTGCAAATAGAAAATAATTCCAACTTTAAAATGGTTAGCTTTCTATCATAATGACATGCCAAACAGATATGTATGTATGTAGGTAAGTCATTGTAGTATTCACAAACCTGTCCAAGTGCTATGATTGGCTATGATGTTAAAAAATGACCAAAGGTAACCACCTGAAAATATCGAGCCAGACAATGTGTCTAAAACCACATTGTACCTATAAGTTTACAGTAACATTTTCTAAGTCAAAGATACGACAAACAAAACTATCATCCAGAAGCTCTGTTTCTGTTATTTTGTACGGGCCAGAAACTCCTGTCCTCATCTGACCTAAACAAGAGTCCCTGATGACAAAAACACACGCAGTTGGACTCCAACAACGACACCATAAGGACAACAACAACCGCACAATGCACTTTGTTTTGTTTTTTGCTGCAAGAGAAGCTTCTTCCGGACATAAAGGAAGCTTTACTCATTAAAAAATTCTACAATATAGTCCTTAAACTCCCTCTATCCTTCAATCCAACTTCCTCTTACACTGATGGAGCCCTCTGTGATTAAAAAAGGAAGTGAAGCACAGAAAGAGTTCCTACGTGTGTTCTTTGTGCCTCAGGGCAAACGTTCCAAACTTCAAAGCCTCCCCAACAATAGTGTGATGTGGTACAGGTATTGGATCATTTCCCGTCAGCTGAAAATGCTGAGCTGCAAGGATTTGTGTTGTAACAACAGAAAATGAAAGTCACCAGCAGATAATCTCTCTGTACTTTTTTTGCTTACTTGTATTTTTCTGCCTTTTAGGTTTTTTCTTTTTACAAAACTATCTCAAAATATTTTTAAAAATAACCCAGTAAATGTTACCTATAATTTAGCAGTATCTTATTTTGACCAGCTTATAAAAACACGGTCGTACCTGTCACAGTTTCTAAATTAGCGTTTGGTCATTTATTCTTCGTTATGTTGCCTGGTGAATGAGTCTGAATCATTAACAAATAACGCATCGCATTCTTATTTCATTTTAGAATATGTAGCCAATTTCTAAAAAGGGGGGTTTGTAGATGTAATACACAGTTATAGCCGATAGATGGCAACGACGAATCCTAACCTTTTTAAGGCCATAGATCCCCGAGATAGAGAGGTGATTATTAAAACACCTCAATGGTAGAAATTGGTTGGCATTACATTGTAAGATGTAATTTTAAAAATATTTTTAAAAATATTTTTAAAAAATCAAGTAGTACTTACTTTTTGATTTAAGAAGTGTCTCCATTCTGGAGATAATGTTCAATAAAATGACTCTTGCCCATATAAGAAGTATTTCCCCAGCGTTGTGCAGCTGTATTTTTTCAGTAACCTAGAACTAAAAGTTATAATAATGTTTTGTTTATGTTCATCATTATTATCTCTCTGTTACGTGTCGTGCTGCAGTGACGCCAGCAGAGGGCTGTGCGCTGTGGGTGATGGGGCTGATTGCGCACAGCTGTGTGTAGATCAGCGCACAGCTGTGTGCGAATATCAGCGACCGCACCTGTCCGCTCCCGACCTGAAGCTCTCGGCTCAGGATTGTGCACACACACATATATATACACACACACACCCTGCGTTTACACGGCTGTCGTTTGTTTATCATGGAAAAACACGTGCTAATGTCAGCTGCCCTGCGTCATGTTGGCACCGTGGTCGTCCTGCTGCTGCTCACCCACACCAGCCCAGAGCTGGTCACTTCTACCACAGTGCGCAGCCTGGACGAGCTCAGCTCCTCGTACAGCAGCATCTTCTCCCCGCTGTTCAAAGCCCTGTCAGAGCACGGAGGGCCCCGGTGGAGCCCAGCTCTGAAGAAGAAGATGAAACCTGAGCACAGGTACATAAAGTTTCTGAGTCAGGTCTACAAGAGGTCATCCAGAGTGCAGAGGAGTCTGGACGGGAATAAAACCTACAACACAGTCCGACTGATCAAGCCAAAAGATGAATGTCTGGCACAGGGTGACAAAGGTCAGAAGTTGACACACACACGCATACACACGCATACTGAATGATGGTTGACATTGTGGAAGACAGAAATTTACTGCTCAAAAGTCACACATGATCCTTAAAGCATTATGTTCCAGGTGGTGGTGGTGTTCTTTGGGTTAAATGACAGGAGCCTTCTTCACTGTACGTCAACACCATCTTTATGGAGGGAGGGGGGCTCAGATCATGACTGTAATCTTTTTCTTTACAGATCTAAAGCTGTTGTTTATAGATGTTTATTTATCAGTCTTCCTGATAAACTTATTGACATCTACAGTAGAATTATTTTTTTTGTTTACATATGCTTCTCCTGTTTTGGGAGGATCACATTTCTTTGCAAAGTCTAAAGTTGTTGTTGCTGCTGTTTTGCTTTAAAGAGTGACAGCGCAACCTCCTTAACACAGTTCTGATTTGGGTTTCCTTTATATAATAATAATTTATTACCACCAGAACTAAGTATGTAGAAAATAGTATCAGAGTATAATTTAGTTGTTTGTTAAAAGTATTTGTGTATCCTATTTATTAATGCATTTTCCTGCAAACTTTTACTACTATTGTTAGTATTCTCCCCCCCCTTTTCAACAGTACGTCAGACATGTGCTTGTAGATAAAAACAGGCCTGGTATTATTCTAATATCAGAATAGGATTGTCTCATTCTTACATCCAGAGGCTCAATGCTGGACACATTAGTGAATGAGGCACATTGTTTTTATGACAATAACATGCTGTTCTGTCTTGCCTTTGTTTTATGTATTCTCCAGTGAGTTATATGCAAGATCTTTCGTTCAGCCTCGATCAAGTGAGAAGAAGGGAGCAGCTTTTGAAGTCGGCTCTGCTCTACCATTTGGACGATGGCCACGCGGCACCTCTGAACACGATCTGCTACATGAGTGTGAGGGAACAAGAGCAGCTGAACCAGTGTCATCTATGTCCTGTCATCCAACAGGCTGTGAACTTTACAGCCGACAGGAGGAACAGGAAGAACTGGGTGGAGGTTGACATCACCTCGGTTGTCAAGCCACTCCTTAAGTTTCAGAAGAAGAATATACAACTGCTGGTCAACGTCACCTGCCCAGACAAACGTGTAGTCAAGGAGGTCACCTTAAAACCTCCTCCTCTGCTGCTTTATCTGAAGGACACCAGCAAAACCACTCAAAGACCATTGGCCAGTGAAAAACCAGGAGCAAGTGCCGCAGCTGAGTCTTTTCACAAGCAGATCATGTTCAGACCAGAGCAGAAGTTTAGGCACAAGAGGAGATGGAAGAGACACGCTCTGAAGAGCAAAAGAGGCGACAGGAGCTTTGACGTCCACCTGCCAGACCTACGCTCACCTTCTGAGTTCCCAACCAAAGACTGCGCTCTGTATGATTTCAGAGTGTGCTTCAGCCAACTGAAACTGGATCACTGGATTGTTTTCCCTCCAAAGTACAACCCTCGATACTGCAGAGGCATCTGCCCAAAGACCCTGGGATTCATCTACGGTTCTCCTGTCCACACCATGGTGCAAAATATCATCTACGAGAAGTTGGACTCCTCTGTGCCTCAGCCATCGTGTGTTCCCTCACACTACAGCCCCCTGAGCGTCATGATCTTCGAAGAGGACGGGTCTTACGTCTACAAAGAGTTTGAGGACATGGTTGCGACCAGGTGCACATGTCGCTAAGTTTCCTCCCAAGATGTGCTCGTGCCTTTATCCTTTATTTAAAGGCTAAATAGATCAGCACCACAAAAGCCTTCCAACAGTTGTCACAAGTGAACTCTACCTCAAGAGTGCATCCTCCAAATATCAAAAAATCTGACAGGCCTCAGTGATTTCATTATTTATAAAATGCCGTGCATGAGCTAGACCGGGTGTGTTTTATCCTAACAAAAAATATGGAAAGGTGAAGTTTGTTTTCATTTCATTAAGGCAGAACAAGACGGGGTGGAAGTGCATCCTCTTGTTCAAGATGCTGTTTGCATAATGGCATCACGTCTGGCACATTTGAAGAAAAAGAAATGTATGATTATGATTTTTTTAAGTTACGTTTTGTTAATTTATTTTGGGTGGATGGGTCTGTTCTTCCATTTAGCACAAATGTCAAGTTTTAAGTAAACCTGGTTGTGAATGAAAGAAAAGGAAGCGGTTAGTATACATAAGCAAACCTTTTACATATCGTTTTATCCATGGGGATTACAGACTGTCAACTGTCTGAACACTCCTGTCTTCAAATTGTCCGGAATGAAAGTTGTCAAGGTTTCAATGTGTATTTATTACTTCTGGTTACCGAGTGACTGCATACATCTGACTTTGTACTGGCCAAATGTGAATACCTGCATTCCATGACTATTTATACAAACTGAATGAATTCACTGTGTCTGTGTTCAGTTTAGAGATATTCAAGACAATGTAAATAGGTAATAATATCCTGACAAGTTGGAAAAATAAAAATAGCAGGCATAAATATTGTTTGTCTGCATACATCTGGCTGAAATGCTCACTTCAAAAAATGTTTTTGCATTACTTGGTCTATTAAGATTCCCAATTATTATTTGGTTGGTAAATTATTAGACATTGAAAGAAATGTATTTGCATAGATAAAATGTACTTAATTTTTATGTACGATTTGCCACCAATGAAAGTTTAGTTTCAAAGTGTAGGCACTGTATGTCCCAGTGATACTGCATTATAGTTCTTAGTAACTTGCCAATGTTACAGAATATACATTTAGAATGATCAGTCACTGCTGTTAAGGATCAATTAAAAACTGATGACTCAACAGGCTGTTACATAGGTCACAGCTGTTTGAAACAGGAAACAATAAACTAGAGTTAGTTCCTGTCAGGTTAGGGTATCAATGTTAAAACGGTCCCAAAATGATTTTCAGTTAATGTAAACTGTATGATGTTTAATAACAGTGGGAGGGTTTCAGTTACCTAAGGTCATAAAATAACTTAATGTTTAAATTTAACATTTTGTTAGAGTCACAGTTGAAGACAATCCAAAAGTATCACATAAAACATTGACATATTTTTAAATTTATCTACAGTTGACAAACCTGATTTTTCACCCCCTTAGTCTTCTCCATTACAGCCTTATGACACTTTAGATTCAAGTACTATCCATAATGTTTGATGTATGGAGTTAGCTCAGGATTCCTTTGATGTGAAGGGTCAAAGCCAAAAATGGGTTTAGTTTGATTGTACATTACACTTTGTACTTCTTAGATTTTGGATGCATTATTTCAATGTTAACGTCTTAATTTTCTTTTCATTAACGACTGTGATAATTATTCTAGATTTATAAAAACAACCAGCATTAAACCAAGGCCATTAGTGGCATTACCCTCCTGGGCGACAGAGGGCGATAGCATATGTGGACAACCCAAGTATGGATAAGAGTTAAGGACATCCGGAAGTTAGAAGAAATCGCTGCTGAGGCGTATCACGGTGAGTTTCAATGTCACAGTTGGTTTACACAGTTTTGTGCGTCGAATCGTGTTACATCATCTAAAAAACATCGTCTATTAATAAAAAATGTACGTATTCACTAGTCCCTAGATAAATGGTTCCAAATTAATATATACGACTGTTAACCCAGGGCGGTTAGCATGTGATGCTAACACGTAGGAAACAGCGTTTCTTCTTGTAGTTATTGTGTGCGTTATTTCACAACTATGTTACAGCTGACGCAATTTGCCTGTTCAATGTGTTAATGGCATATGTAACAAAGTATTAATAAACAATTGTCTTGTTCTTAGAAGTCTAGCCGAAAGGTCAATTATTTACATTATATTACGTTTGCCTTCTTTGTTTTAATACATGTTATTGTTACAGTCATTCCAGATCAACTCGGCTGCAAACATGGGCTTACACTTTGGTGACCTGGCCAAGGTCAGACATGTTATAACATACAGCATCTCACCGTTTGAACAGAGGGCTTTCCCCCACTACTTTTCCAAAGGACTCCCCAATGTTTGGAGACGGTTTAGATCCTCTGTCTTCAAAATTGGCCCCCGTAAGTCCCAGTCCCTGTTTATAGTATAACAACATTTGAGAGTTACATGGTTTATATGTAACCTATACTACTCAGCTCATGGTAGTGTACCAGTTGTGCGTTATTGTTGCTTTGGTGGTTTTTTTCTTAACATGGAGTAGTTATTTCCACAATTGATGAGAAGAGCTAAATCTAGTGAAGTTTCTCATTATTAATTCACATGGACTTGTTTACAAAACCAACTGGAAGATTACAAGTCTGTTGACAAAAGTAACCCTTACTTTTCTCGACAGACTTGTAATCTCCCAGTTCTTGTATACATGTTGAAGCAAAAACTGTTCCAAATAATCCAAACTGGCCTTGTGATCTTTTTTTTTTTTTTTTTTACAGCCATGATGGCCGTTCTCCTGACATACTACTGGGGCAACTTTATCCATGAAAAGAACAAAAAGAAGAATCTTGCAGACTACGAGAATGACGAATAAACTCCACAGTCACCTAAGAAAGCTGTTCAGTTCAAAACTCTGTTAATAAAAATGAAAAATATTTATGAAATATTTGTATTTGTTTCATTCACATGTCTAAATGTCGTTATTGTAAGTATTGTCAGTTGTGCTCAGTATTTTTGAGTTGAGAATATAAAATACCCTGAGCAATGGTCACTAGTCTCAACATCTTTAACAAAATGTATTTTGCTCTGATCATCATGATTTTTTATGAATATTTTCTAAAAGTGTGGGAAAAATAAATGGTACTCCTTTGCGATTTTCTAAATATAATAAGTACTTTGATGGCTGGTCATCAAAGTAAGAATACTCGTTCCAACTCTCTTTTGAAAGAGAGATGGATGTTTAAGGATTAAAGGAATTGCACTGGTTTCGGTGATATTTGGTTATCATTCTCAAGCAAATTTATACATTAAAAATTCACGCATCTGCTGTGGCTGGAGCAACAGTGAGTTTTTTCCCCTCAAAGAACAGGACAACAACACATCAGAGCATGTAATTAACTATTAAACCAAACTAAGAACAAAAATGATTAGTTCAAACATCCAAAACCTCTCCTCTTCTGTCATTTCAAATAACTAC